AACTAATTAAAGCCTAAAAATACTTATATAATATATTATATTAAAAATATAAAGCGGGAAGCTATATATAGCCTATTACTTACTAATATACTATTTTACTTTACTTAGCTATTAATTTCTATCCCGCTTTGCCTAATATCCTTTTTAAGAGTGCAGGCGAAGACGTGACCAAAAAGAAGTTAGGGCGTAGCTTATGGTGTCGACGAAGTGGGGCGCACGGACAAATATTCGGAGCGCCTCAGCTGTTGGCCAAACCCCGCATACCAGGCATGGCTGCTGTGGGCGGCTAAAACCAAGTAGGAAATGGACTGGAACCTAAACCTGAACCTCGAAGCTCCTCCAGGCATTTATTTGTTCAATGTTTGGTTAGAGCCTTCCCCTATCTGCAGGCTCCATTTTCGTAGTCGGCGTTCCAAACACGAACCGCACCGAAACCGACGACATGCCAAACAGCCAGCGACGTGCATGCGATGCCTGCTATTATAGGAAGGTTTGTGCCTGCGTCTTGGCGCGCATCACATCCTTGTCTTCACTATTAACCCTAACCCTCCAGACGCTGCGGCACTATGCTAACGAAATCATAGATCAAGTGTGACTCAGCCGACGTCTCCGATCAATGTGATTGGTGCCGTCACCACAACCTTCGTTGCACCTTTGGGCGGACTAAGCCTCGCAAAGGTCTGAAGATGTGAGGTTTCCTGGGAATGGAATAGATTCCTTGCCGTGGCAGTTCATTCTCAGAATGGTGGTATATTGCGCGTTTGGACTGACAACCCGACAGCCACGTCACTACAGTCCAGGATGGGCCAGCTGGCCGCCGCGTCTCAACACAAAAGTCTCCTTTTCACGAAACTAGACCGAGAGAATCAAGGACGACTTCCAAACATGAAGCGGTGGATGCCAGGTCGCGGCAGACGGCAGCACCGTCACGCCCCCATGGAACGCGTACCTCTGAGGCTGCACTAGCTATGCCTTTGACGAGCTTGGATGAGACTCCTCTAAGGCAGATATTCTTTGGGGGGCAGAATTTCGGCGCCATCGACTCCCAAAATGGGATCCCGCACTTCACATTACAGTGTCACCAGTGGATCCTCTCAAGAACTGGGCAATGGCCGCGTTTCCACGATCTCGACATACACGATCCAGGCTATAATGAGAACACTACAGAGTGCAGTTCCGCACCGGTCATGTCGGCACCCTTGAACCAAAATGACAAGGTTGTACTGCCTGACCAGCATATTTTGGCATTTCTTCTGCGGACATTCATGGACTCAGAGCTAAGCCTTATATTCCCCCTGGTTGATTCTGTTCTTATTGAAGAGACAGCCCGGATGGCATATGCGGTAAATTCCCATGAGTATATAAGTGCTAGGGCATGCATGTTTGCCTTTCTCTCCATGGTGGGCACTCGGTTTCCCGATATTAAGGCTGCATCAGAGATTAATAGTGATGCTTGCGCTGCCGAGGCGCAGCTGGCACTATCAGAGCTTTTACATCATGCAAGCATCACTAATTTACAGACTATGATTATGCTAGTATGTAAATACCTTCTGCTATTACACTTCCCGTATCTTGCTAATAGTACATGTTTGACACAGCTATTACATGAAATGCTCCGAGGTCGTGTAAACACTGCTTCCATGTATCACGCTCTCGCATGCCGAACAGTCTTTACACTAAAAGGCCACACATGTATTCCACCTACGCATTATAATTTAACGAGGAAGGAGAATGAGAACCGACACCTCCGTATGCTTTTTTGGATGTGCTACGTTCTAGATAAAGATATTGCCCTAAGAACAGGCCAACCACCCGTTATTGACGATCAATTCTGCAATCTCACGCTCCCTGCTAATTACATGGAAACCGTGTTTGTTGACGGTAATAAGGTAACTAAAGGACAGCGAACTCCATGGTTCCCTGGGGATCTGCGGCTGAGTTTATTAAAGTCCAAGACTACCTGTGACCTTTATTCTCATGCAGCCCTCATAAAGACGGATGCTGAGCTTTTGAAGACTATTCGAGTGTTGGACGAGGAGCTTGAAAGCTGGCGTATATCGATTCCTGAAGAGTTACGTCCTGGATTATCGGTCCAGAAAAGGGCCAACCTCGATACTATGAGCAGCTTCAAAAGCATGATACACATCGAGCTGAGTTTAAACTATTACTTCTTACTCAACACCATTCATGCAGCCAGTGGACGATTCAAGGTGAATGTGGATGGGAATAGGTCCGGCCGAAAATGTCGTTTTGGCGTGCAGTCAAGTCTAGACTTGTCGGCCGAGGCCAGCCGATCTACTCTTCGATATTTAAGTACAGTGGCGAGCAGACTTTACATGGAAACGTTCTGGTAAGTCGCTTGACCCTAAAATGTCTGTCTCTTTAACTACGCCCGATGGCTCATCACCCAACCAGGGTCTTCTGTTTCTACCCCACATCCGCTCTCATGACATTGTTTTTTAATATCCTGCATGACCCCCATCACGATTTTGCGATGGACGATGTGGAACTGCTTTGCGGGGCGTCAAACGTACTGCAGAGCATGCCGATCCGTAGAGTCACGCCGCGCGAAACCATGTACTTGAAGAGGATGGATATTTTGGTCCGAGAGCTGAGCGAGCTAAGCAGGCTTGCCATGGCCAGACAAATGACCAAGGTAAAGTAGACTTGGCGGAACGTATTAGCACATAGGGCAGGCATCCCGCGGGAGATTTTGGCTGGGAAACGCATGTATTTAACTTGTACACTCAAAGCATGGTGGCGCAAATTACGTGAGCGACACCGGTAGCAATTCTTAGCCGCTGTCTTGACATTGGTGAACTCCTGGACTCGTATTTTTCATGTCCTCTACCCCGATCTATTGGCTTCTTGGTAGCTATCAATCATCAAGTTGTCACGTCATAACTAATTGTTAACTAGGCTTCTTTATAGAATCATTATTCTTGTTCGTTCCTCCTCCTACTGTTAACTCTAGAAACTCAATATATTTAATACGTTCGGAATACTGCTGCCCTCAGGCAGCAGTAAAACGACTACTGTCGCCACTTGTCACCCGCATTGCCTCCATTTGCCCTAGCCTGCCCAACGCTGATGGAGCCAAAAGCCTCAAGCTTCTCCAGAAGCTGCTTCGTGTCGTAGTCTTGATACCCATGATTCTGAAAGAGCTTCTCAGCTATCGGGTTAGCCAAATTAAGAATACTCATCATGTCCGAGTGGACGACTTGTATGACGCGAGCAATTGCTGCAAGCGTGGTGGCGGTAACAGTAGTGTTCCGGCTGTCTTCGGAGTCAGTCCAGTTTCTTGATTGCACCAAGAAAAGTGTTGGTGGGAAAGCATACATCATGCCGACAAGACTTGATGAACATAAAAGCAAGATGCCACACCCAAGAGTATTCACCAGTGTCCACCATCGCTTCCCGTATCGCTTTTGGTTGTGAAAGTTGGTTCGCATCTCAACCTTCTCCCGAGCATCGGCAAAACGCCAACTCGGATGCGTGTTTTCAAGGATTCCATCAATCATGGAGCTAATCTTTCCACGCCCACGCCCCATCATTGTCTTGGTCTTTGCCTCGCCAGGATGGCTGGACCTGCATTCGCGGCAGGTCTTCTCAAACTCCAAGTGGAGAAAAACCATGGCCATTCGGCTGCGAATTGCGTCGTCCTTCATGCGTGCATCTAGCTGACAAATGTACGAGTACGCCGTTTGCAGCTTTTCGTACTTGTCAACGCGTACCGTACGGCCCGAGTACCGTTCTTTCCCCCACAAACCGTGCTGACACCAGCGAGATAAATTCATCTCCAGAAACTGCACAAAGTCAGATCGGACGCAGGCCTTGGCTACGGCCACTAGCCTCGGCGTGGCGGCATCCTGTATCGAGTTGTCGGCGTCTCGTTGGATCGTTTGTCCCGTCTCGTTGACCGAATCAACGTTACTTGGCGCCGGCAACTCCGCATTAGGTGCCGATTGTGGTAATGAGGCTGTTGAACACATTGCTCTCCTGAGAGCTACTGCGTCGCCAAATTATTTAGCGAACAACAGAGGGTAGGCAAGCGATTTGAAGGCTGCTTAAACGCACCTTCTTGGGCAGCATCATGATCCACTTCCGTTCTTATCTTTTGGATGGGAGTGCGGGAAGGGGAGCTGCCGATGCTGGTCTTGAGGCGAGGCGTATAACTTAGTTTTGATGCGGTAAATAGTGGTCAAGGAGGGCTTTTCGAACCTGCATGGTATTTGCGCTCGATGACACAGAGCCGTCAGAATTTGGCAGCTCCGTGTCCTGGCCACTGCCGCTGTCATATCCAGATTCGGTGGCTATCCTCTCAGTTGCCACTTCATTGCCGTTAGTGAGATCCAAAGAACTTGCGTGGTATGAAGAATATTCGTTGACAATTAGGCTGCACGATCGTTGCTGACAGGGGGTATCTCGATCACGAATACGAGATTCCATCGTGTCGTTGGTTGTATTCCACAGGTGCGTCGAACCCAAGAGCTCTGGTCTATTTAATGGCGATTGTTTAACGAAGGCACAATATACTTGTTTTCAAGGAAGGATGACTTACTGTGATGGCGGCTCATTCTCGAGAACTAGTACTGGTCTGATGGAACCTGGGTCTTCCATTGGCCCTTGTTGGAAGTCGATTCTGAATGGACTCATTCGGCTAGCCAGAGTATCAATGGATATAATGTCACTTTCGTCAAGAAATAATTTTACAGCATTGACAAAGTGGGCGATACTGTCCAATGTTGGTGTTGAAGTCGGGGCAGGCAAATGCACCAGTTGTCGCGCCATGTTGTCATGGCAATCTTACGATGCGTCGTTATGGCAGAGGCGATGGGTGCGGATAACATTGAAAGGACATTGGAAGCACTTGAGGTTTGCGGGACGACCAGCGCACATCATCACCTTCCAGTCAAAGGCAATCACGAAGGCTGTAGCCAGGACTTGCCCGGTGTTCGGTCTGGTCAATAGCATACATGTATTCTAATTGTTGGTAATTAACCCCCACACTAACCGTACCTGGCGCATTGATGGCGTCGTCCGCAGGCGAGTTTAGCCCGGTTTCGAGTTACGCGCTCAATAGCGGAACTGGTTCTTGTTTCGGAAAGCAGCGTGAACAAGGCTAGCTTGGCGGGCAATATAAGTAATTCCATTTTGGTAAAGTCCACTTCATTTACGTTACTTCAAGAATGACTTTGCTACTTTCTTGCTATTTTGGCATTAGTGAAATTCTCATTGTAGATGAGCGGGAGAGCGTACCATCTTTATTGGACCCTTTGAATCGTTTGCTGCACATACTGTTTCTACTCATGCAACTGGTCGAGAATATGCCCTTTGGGAGAGCCTGGATAGCCTTCCGCATGGACTAAGCCTTGGAGACGACCGAGAATCAAGGCCCTAGCAGCCGGATTTGGGACATTTCCGGCGGCGCTACTCAAATTTTGGAGCGCCACTACCTGCACCGTGCCATTGGGGAGGTGGGTTTAGAACGGTGGGTGTGTACAATGCGTTCTGTAAGCTTCCTCTGATTGCAGTGGCATTTCTTACAACGGTATTCCGGTACCAAGTTTTGGGTGTGCGTATTATGTGTTTTCCCAGTTTCCATTTCCATTACTCGGGGAAAGCTGGGACTCATGCTTTGACTTACCACTTTGGAAACCAGGGCTCCGCTTAGTCAGTCTCTACGCTCAGATTAGAAACTGTTTATTCAGAGCCAGGAAGATGCAGGTTCAAGTGTCATGCTCTAGCTACCTGCTCGTGAGGCCACCAAATATGACGTGCTCACTCCGGGAGACCATTCGGCAAAAGCCAGCCCCGGCAGTGTGTTGGATTCTCAGAAGTTACAGGATCACGGTGCATGGAGCACAAAATATGAAAGGCTGGCCAACTACCTAAATGTAACCAGGTAATGGAGTACTGAAAGATAAAACTCGACTACATTTTTAGTTAAGATGATAGATAGAGTAATAAAGTATAAAGAACTAATTATGCTTAGTAGTTTTGGATGGAAATTCCCTAAATTGGTGCCGCGTAATACGGGAGATTTATCCACTAATATAAATGGATTTAAATTTATTAGTACGCGATTATCTAGGCGGAGCATAAATAAATGGCCAGAAATTTTAAACAAGGTCGAGATATTTGAAATAGTAACCACTCATACCATGAAGAAGAGTACAGGCACCTTATCCCCTGTCGCGGAACCAAAGAAGAGAGCATATTTGCTTTGTTGAGCCCCCTTTTCTTGTTCTTTTTTCTAATTCTTCCTCACCTTTGGATATTCGTTAGAATCATCTAGTCAGTTGTCAAGATGCTCGCTAGACCGTTACACCTTCTATCCAAGCCAAGCCATGGTTTCGAGGCCAGATAATAGGTCAGTGATACTATTGCCCTGAACGAATTGTCACACTTCTTGCACGGGAATTTTAAATCAAATTTCTATCATCTTGTAGCTAATTTATGCAATCTAAGATCCAAGAACAAGTTGATTCTTTGTTGCAATAAAATACGCCCACCCTCTAGCAAGTCGCTCGTAGAAGCGTTAAACTATCCTATTACTGCTCAATGGGGGCTTCTAGGAACCAATCTGCTAAAAAGCGGCTGGGCTAGCGAAAAGCTAGGCTTTAGCCCCGACTTGGTTGAACTGGTCGCTAAAGGAATAATCAATATATCCTTTGTCAGATCGGGCAAGGTAAAAGGTGCTCCTGTCGTATTTGTTAAATGCCAGCCCTTCCTTGACCCTAAATGGCAAGTCGGGTGTCGAGATGTACGGTCGCCCAAAGACAACGACAGTATCATAGTCGTGGTATTTTGAATCAACGGCCTCCTTTGCAAGCGTAGAATCATATCCGCCTGCCACTAGAATTGGGGAAGCCTTATTGTACTCGTTGAAAAAAAAGTCGAGGCTGTCAGTGGGCTTGGCTGCTGCGTCGGCGCCGGATCGTGATTCGATCAGATGCACATAGGCCAGCCCGAAATCCTTGAGTTTCCCGGCGAGATACGTAAACTGGGGAATCGGGTCATCCATTCGCATTCCCTGGAACGAACTCCAAGGGCTCAGGCGAATGCCAGTACGGTCGGCGCCAACGGCAGCCACGACAGCCTTTGTAACCTCGAGTGCAAAGCGAGCCCGGTTCTCGATGCTGCCTCCCCACTGGTCTGTACGCTTGTTGGCCGTGTCCTGGGTAAACTGATCAATGAGGTAGCCGTTGGCGCCGTGAATCTCGACGCCGTCGAAACCAGCCTCGATGGCATTCTTGGCAGCCTGTGCGTGGTCCTCGACGAAGGAGTAGATTTCCTCCTCAGTGAGTGGCCGGGGCGAAGCAGCATCCTCGCCCATGGGAATGTCGCTGCTAGAAGTAAGGTCAAAAGGACCCTCGCGCTTCAAGACGTCAACTTCAGCAGTGCGCCCTTGCGCCCACAGCTGCAGGAAAATATACGACTTGTTTGCGTGAACGGCATCGGTAACTTTTTTCCATGCGGCAATCTGCTCGCTGGAGTATATGCCCGGGGCCGAATCGTAGCCCCCGGCTTTGGCAGAGATGTAGGTGCCCTCGGTGATGGCCAGGGAGCCTGGGACGGCTGTACGCTGCGAATAGTAGTCCGTGACCATGGGCAGAGGGACATGACCATCGTCGGAGCGAAGACGAGTCATGGGCGACATGGCTATACGGTGGCTTAGCCTAGCACGGCCAACTTTGATAGGCTTGAATAAATTGGTCATTGTTGTCAAATGAAGAAAAGACAACAGAAGAATTGGTGTGTTATCAAGAGGAATCAGCTCGGGGTTGTGAGTATATAGTTGATGCTCTTGTAACTTGTGCCCCGTTCAGGTCAAGCTGGGGACGCCTTTTTATCCCGTTTGGCTGCTGTGTGCATTGTTACCAAGCGAGGGCTTGACTCTAATGGTGGAATCAGCAATGGCCTACGGTGACTAAAACCGCCAAGGTTATTGGTAAGCCCCGAGGGGGCGATGCATCGCTGCGGAGGGTAAGGTTAGTAAAGCTGGTGGGTAACCATTCGACAGAAGTGCCGCCGAGTGCCGACTCTGAATACTTGCAGCCACGCGGGGCACTCGGACGATCTGCTGCCAGATTTATGTCATAGCAAAAGTCCCAGTTAGATAAACATAGGGCTGCATTATACTAGCCACAGTCTAACGTTGCATATAGACAGCCGCATGGCCCAGAATGTCTCTTCCAAGTGGCTGGATTGTGGGAGTTGACTGCATATGTCAGCGGAACCGAAACTACCCAAAACGGCAAGATAATCGGGCCAAGACTTGGATCCCGGATCTAGTCCCCGCAATCAAGGGTCGGAAAAGGGGCCCGTGCTTTGGTTCACGCTTTAGAGGCGTATTTAAGTTTTCTAGAATATATACTATACTTCTTTCATTGCGGCAATCAGAGAATAGTCACAGTGTGGCAGTTTGTGGACGAGTGGAATCTCCTCGCATACCACCGGGTCTTGTGTTTCGTGCTTGGCGTGTCGAAATCGGAGGAAAGATTTGATGGCGTGATGACAGCCACCAAACTTCCTAATTTGGCTGGATGTGGCCGTATCAACGGGCTTCTGGGCACAGCCTGCTGCAACCAACAGTCCTTTCCGTCGGTAGTTGGAAGCGGCATGACGGCAAGTGCTGATATTGCCGAATTAATTAAGGGGTGAGCAATCATAGTACTCGAGTCTAGTCCTACCGAGCGGCAAATTCCATATGAACTAGAACAGACTGGGCAAGGCACGAGCGAGCCAAGATAAACCTTGGTTGCGTCTCATTGCGAGTCCCGGATAGTAGCAATCAATGTCGCTACGAGAGCGAGTAGGCGTTGGAAATTCCTTACAAGCATGACTGGAGCTGTATTTTACGCATATATGGCTCAGACCTCCAGGAATGTTACAGGCTGATCGACAAGTAACGTATTGTCAGCACCAGTACCGCTTCAGCATAGGCCATCTGATGCTAAGCCCGGCAATCATCATGATGTTTTGTTTCTAGGAAAGAGAGTTTTTCATAATAATTCTTACCGGCACAATGATTTAAAGCAAAATATTAGCATGTATTGTCTTGATTTTAGGTTTCTACTATGCATTAGAGTATTTCATGGATATCAGTATGTGAAAGGGCTCTCATCGTCGGGACCCCACGTACAGTGCAAGCTAATCTCTACCTCGAAATGCTGACAAAAAGCAGAAAAGGCTCCAAGTTCCTGTAAATTGGGGTCTGGATCACACCCGGTGCATACTGTAATATATGTCACACTCTCCTCAAAAAAAAAAAAAAACTATATTTGCACTGCATAAACATACTCTATAACATTTAATCGACCTCATAGTGCACTGCACAGCATGGATATGCATTGCAGACGACACGAGACTGAATAAAATGCGGTCTTAGTTACGACCTCACACACTATCTACAGCCCTCCCGTCTCTCAGTCCTGAGGTTGAATCTCAATAATGTTGCCGTCTGGGTCTTCAGCAAATATAAAGGTTCGATGAAAGGAGGTGAGCGAGTCGGCGATATTCTTGCGTTCCTCTTCATCGAGCTGCCCCAGAGACGACGCGGAGAGACTATTAGCCGTTATGATTCGCCCCTGTGTTGGAAAAGGGTCTCCGTATCTCTTGAGGATCTTGAGGCCAGGAAATGTATCGAAGCGAGCTTGGGCTGCCTTGATATCAGGCACAATCATGCCAAAATGCCCTAACCTGCTGATGGCGTCGCCGGACGCGGGCAAGTCACGACGCGGAACTTGGAGATTCCACAACTCAATCATGCCCGCACTATTTGTCCT